CTGAATAGATAAACCAAACAAGGAGCCAGACACAAAGACAACATACTGTGTGATTTCATCTATGAAATGAAATCTGAAAACTGAACTATAGTTCAGAACGCTGATAAGTGTTTGTCAAGAGCCAGGATGGGAAAAGAGAACTGACTGCAAATGGGCACAAAGGGAACCTTTTGGGGTGATGGAAATGTTTCATATCGTAACTGTAGTGTATACATAATTGTACACATTTGTCAAAATTCACATTGTACCCTTCAAACTAGTACATTATATTGTTTATGAATCATACTTCAATTTTAAAAAGCATATGTTACTAATCATACAACTAATATCATGAATGCATGGTTTACCAAGCATTTTTACTTAATTTGTCCCTTAAACCCTATACCAAGACTCAAAAGCTACATAACTTACATAAAGTCATAGAGCTAACAAGTGGCAGGGCTGGCACTCTAACCTAGCTTTCCTACATATAACTACGTGTAATAAAGAACAGATGTCAAAAGAAAGACCTCATGACTTCCTCTAGTTTCTGTGTGGGTCATGAAATCAATTTAGTGGATTAGATCACCATTTTTTTAATGAAATGGAGAGGAGTGAAGAAAACTGGAAAGGAATAAAAAAGATCAGAGTTCATTATGCTTAGAAATGTTAAATATTGGTTATTAAACTTTTGTTTCAACTGAAAAACTGTTTGAGGGTTTATGTATACTAAGCTACAAAATAAAATGTATTTCTTACTGTGGGTCCTAATCAAAAAAAGTATGAAAACCACTGGGGCAGACCAAACAAGGGATTACAACTGTAAAGCTGGCTGCCGTGAGATAAACAAGGAGGTGGACAAGATCAGTAGAAGTACTGTGCTGCAGAAAAGTGGTTGTAAAGGACAAAGGAGAAAGCACAAGTCAAAAACAACTCCTACTGAGCCCAGGAGTTTGAGGTTGCTGTGAGCTAGGATGACGCCACGCCACGGCACTCACTCTAGCCCAGGCAAAAGAGTGAGACTCTGTCTCAAAAAAAAAAAAACCACCCCTAGACTCCAAAACATTCAGTGTACACTTGATGGATAATTAAGCATTGTTACATCTACATTTAATTTCTTCCAACTTATCTCTTCAAACTTATCTTCCCTCACTCTAATTCCTCTCAACTTTTTTGCCTCTTTTCAATCCAGGTATAAGCAATGCAAGGTTATAAACTAAACAATGATTTCTTCACCTTTATGTTACCCTAGCACCTGAAATGCACTTTATACATAGAGAATGCCCAGACACTTGTAGAATAAACACTGCGTATAGCCTATTAACTCTGCCTAGGGACCACAATACTATAGTAATCCTGTATTACTGTAACAAGACAGTGTCCTGTGAAATTCAATTCTGATAGTAACTCACATAATAATCTTGAAATGTGAAGAGCCTTTGCAGCCCTTTAGCAGAACTTAAAGAGATGTGTTTTTAACATTAACGTTTCCTATGATGTTTTCATTTAGTATTTCTAAAATACTGTTATTTAAATGTATGACTACAGCACAAGGCTATTCTTATATGCCTCTCTCAAGTTCTGCCCCAAAAAAGCTATTCCCATTAAGAAATTCTAAATTAAAAGCACACATGCAATGTTTGTGTTATGAGATGGCAAATTTTAATTAGAAAACATATTGCCAGCACATATCAAAGCATCAATGGAAAATGCTTCCCTGAGCTCTAACACACCACAAATAGTTTAAAGAGCCCTCAAAATATCCAGCTACCCTTTCACTTCTCACAGCTTTGTACTGATCTGTACACATCCCCTCGGAGGCTCAGCTCCAAAGGTGTCACACCACCTCTGTGTCCATACATCAGGAAATATTTTTTAAAGGGATAAAAAAAAAAAAAGACAGAACTGAATGCAGCAGTTCAACATACTTCATTCTTGATGAAACTCACCGAAACCCAAGAGGAATGGAGAGAAGGCATAATTAGTCCTGCTTTACAAATAAGTGAAAAATGAAATCATTGATGTGCCAAGGTCACAGAGCTAAGACATAGTAAATTTCTGTATTTCAACAAGAAGCTTCTGATTGTAAATCCAATGCTCCTTCCACATTGCATCAATCAACAAAGAGTAAGAAAGAATTTATTCTTTAGTGTCTCCTGTTCAAGACAGCCATGCTTATTCTCAAACCTCTACAATAATGGATCTAGCTGCCTAAACTAGACTACCTACTTGATCCTTCCCTAGATTAACCCCTGGCCTACTCAAGGGACAAGCTGAAGCATAAGGTCAGAAGAGAACAGTGAGTGAGAAGATAGCAGTTCAGTCAGCAAGTCCATGTGAAGAGGGTCAGTGAGAAATTCAGGAGAGATGGTCATGTGTACATCTAACAGAAAAGCAGAAGTAAGGCAACATTCAGTGATCCAGACAGGTGGTCAGAAAGACTGACAGAAGATCCATGTCACAGCTTCCATACCCTGTGCAAAAGGCGAGACTCCATCTCTAGGAAGCTTGTCTAGGGCCAAGCCAGGCCTAGATCCAATACTAAGCAGGTTATCAAAGCAGTGACTCTTTCACTTGCTCAGTGAAAAATTTAACATGATTAGCATGTGCCAGACAACATTCCAGGTACCAGAAGTATTAATAATAACATATCGTGCCTGCCTTCAAAAGGCTTAAACTAGTAAGAAAGACAGACAGACAGTGATCTACTACTAAAAACATATATTTGGAACTATGGTAACAATCAAAATATTTTGACCTTACCAAGGCCAGTTGCAAGGATAAGGGGAAAGGTGAGGAACGGGGGCAGGATAGAGAAAGAATTAAGAAAGTCTTCAGTGAAGAACCCGATTATTAATATAAGACAGAGCAACATGGCTTCTGGAATGGCCTGTTGAAGCCACTCCACCATTTTGTTTCTAAAACTTAGAGTAAAGATTGAGGGTTGGCAGTATGCAAAGACAGTCATGTAGTGAAAGTAAGGGCAGAGTCTGAGTGAAAGGGAAAAAAATGCAATGTCCATAAAATATGAACACACCTCAAAAATATCATTATACAGAATACTATCCAGCAATAAAAGTGAATGAAGTACTGATACATGCAACAATGTGGATGAACCTTGAAAGCATTGTGCTATGTAAAAGAAGTCAATCACAAAAGACCACTACTGTATGACTCCATTTATATGAAATGTCCAAAATAGGCAAATGTATAGAGACAGAAAGTAGACTGGTGGTTGCCTAGGGCCGAGGGAGTTGAGGTAAAATGGACAAGGACTATTTATAGATGTGAGGTTTCTTTGGAGGGTGATGAAAATGTTCTAAAATTGATTACAGCGATCATTGTACAATTCTTGTGAATATACTAAAAACCACTGAATTATGAGTGAATTGGATGCTACATGAATTATATATCAAAGCTGTAACCAATATACCATTGTACATTCTCATAAAAATTCAAATATAAAAATTGCAGATGGTTTTACTATCTGCCTTAAGAAGCAATTTGCAGGCTAGGTTAAGTCAGCACAGTAAGTGTATGGGATTTGGAGCTACGCGGAACAAGATTCAAGGTACCGCTGCACCACTTGCCAGCGGGGCACACTTGGGCAAGCTACCTACCTAACCTGTCTGAGCTTAACATTGTCGGTTATAAAATAAAGACAACATTTACCTTGCAAGGTGAGAAATAAGTTACATAATCTAAATAAGTACTCTCTATTGCTACCATTTTTTAAATGTTAGTATATGAAAAGTAAATGTTATCCAAAAAAATTACATACATATCCTTTTCTTAGATACATATCAACATTCTAATTCAATTTTTCAAATCATTCATGTCAAGATCTATGTTTCATTCATCTTTGCAAGTCCACCTTACCCAGGTGCGTAAGATGGAACTTTGGATCAGAGGTGCTAAACACGTTTTGAGTGCTTATCATGGTCTAGTTACCCCGTTTTGTGCTTGACAGATGAGAAAGCTAAATTCAAAGTGTGGTCAACAGAGCTTTTTCCTCTATATCATGCTTACATATTTTTGGTGTAATTGTTTATTTGGATTTGTTGTTGTTCTTGCTGTTATTCCTTTACCATTAACCACAAGTTACATTCAAAAATATATTTCTCAGAGAAAACTTAACTATGCAAGGATTTGTAATTTCTCAGAAAAACTTCACTGTGTAAGAAGCTATAAAGTGTTAATTACTTTTAAGAAGCCCTATTGGCCGGGCGCGGTGGCTCACGCCTGTAATCCTACCACTCTGGGAGGCCGAGATGGGCAGATTGCTTGAGCTCAGGAGTTCGAGACCAGCCTGAGCAAGAGCGAGACCCCGTCTCTACTAAAAATAGAAAGAAATTAATCAGACAACTAAAAATACATAGAAAAAATTAGCCGGGCATGGTGGCACATGCCTGTAGTCCCAGCTACTCGGGAGGCTGAGGCAGAAGGATTGCTTGAGCCCGGGAGTGTAAGGTTGCTGTGAGCTAGGCTGACACCACGGCACTCACTCTAGCCTGGGCAAAAGAGTGAGACTCTTTCTCAAAAAAAAAAAAAAGAAGCCCTATTATTTTCAACATGACGAACATACAGTAAAGTATGTCTAGTTTTCTCATTTTTAAGCAAAAATTTAAAAAATATATGCATGATATTTTAGTCTGGTTTACTTCAATTAGCAACTACACATTTCTGAGAAGCTGACACGTCTTTAGCTATTTTTTCTACCTCTTTTTGAAGTATAAAATTCCTTCCCAAAGAATGAGAGCTGATTTGAATGACTCTAAGTTGACTAACAATTTGTAATTAAACAAATTTTTTACATTAACATATCAACTATTCCCTTTTACAACTTAAAAGCAACAATTTAATGTGTTTTACTAGTTCTGCCTCTTCTTTTAGCACTATAAAAACAGTACATTTCCAATATGTGCACCTTTTAGCAATTTAAAAGGTGTTAGCAAGCATGCCACCGACATAACATAGTTAGTTAAAATTCATAACAAAGGAAATGTTGAGGATAACCTTACCATATCATCCGTCAGCGTCCTAATATTTAAATGCTGCAAATGAAAAAAAACCAATCATGTCAGTAATTTATAAGAGCTTTTTTTAATTTTAGTTAATAGGGTACATTGAAAATTCTATAATGCTAACTTGAATGTAATTAAATTCCTGACAGTCTAATAAAAATGTATTATATATTGTTTTAATCTCTTTCTCAAAAAGATGGACAAAAGTTACCCTGCACGTGGTAGTTTCAAACATTTACTAAAATTTATTGACTTTGTAAACCACACAAACTAGAAACCTAATTTGGGACAATAAATATATTCTCCCAATTAATAGTATTAATTACTATTAAGTATATGAACTTAGGACACAATGAATATAAGACTTAAATGATTTTCAGAAAATTTTTCAAATTATAAAACAGTGCAACTTTAAATTTACCATTAGTATGCAGCATAATAGATAATAAAGTACTTTGCTAGCTTAATTAACTTAAACAATTCTAGTAACGAAGAAGAATGTACTAGAATGACTATTTGCATCTTTAACATCAGTTTGATTTATCACCAGTGGTGACAGTAGACACTTTTCAATTTCATTGCTAGCTTCAAGAACCCTTTTGCTGATTTCCTTGCCAGACAAACATAAGATCACTTTTAAAAGTGAATAAATTAGTTTTCCTGCAGAGTGCAATTCAAAAGAAAAGAAAGAAAACACAAAAATCTAAGTTTTATAGATCCCAGAGTAGGGCAAGGTTTTGTATTCAAGTAGCTAGATTCAATTACCAATTCTCCTCCCTCGTGTTCATTGGAGCATTATATCTTTAAAAGAGCAGAAAAAGGGTCAAATACATTTTCTAAACAGGAAAACAGTTCTACTCTAAGTATAAAAGGACAGGTGTTAACAATTATCACCTAACAGTATAAGGAATACGTAGTTAAATTAAACATTTATTGAATGGAATGAAATTTATCATTCATGTTTGTATACTCAAGTACACCCTCATGCTCATAATCTATCTCAGTGATGATCCAGATTAAAAATCTGTACAGTGTAAGTCACTATCCCAGATTCTCCACTTCCTTTCTTTCACCAAGATGTTTCTTCTCCTAGTGCAAAGGAAAAGAAGTAACGGAGGAACCTAAAATGAACTGTGTATAATGCCAAAGAGAATGTGGCCAAATAAATGACCATTAGCCCACTACTAGGTTAGAGACTGAACTGCCTGTTGAGTTAGAACAACCTACTTTGACCTAGGAATAAGGAAATAATAATAGTTGATAAACTAAGGGTTAGTGTCTAACACTAGGCTATTAAATTTGCTTTTTATCAATACTATCTTCAGCCTTTGACACTAACAAGTATGCTTCTTATGTTCCTGATGAGTGAGTGTGATCCTGAGCAGGACTGTAAAGTTTCTAAGGCACTTAGGGCCAGAGTGTCATCCCTGAGATCATTACTAGTATTAAACCCAAAACTCCAGGGCTCTCGAGTTTGCAGAGAAAGGATCTGGGGAAACGCCTGCATGGGGCTCCCTTCCTATGACTGCCTGCTATATATGTACCTTCCTGCCAAGAGAGGTTTCCAGCCCACTGCACTTGGTTAACCACGTCTCTCTTTTGTTATTCTACTATCAGAAGTATCGCCCCAATAACAACTCATATCACTCTTGAAAGGGGTCATTTTAAGTGTCTGTGACAAGAAAAGAAGAATGCAGTCAACTTCTGACACAACAGCATGCCAAAGTGGCCTAATGCTTAAAAAATAAAGCCAAAGAAATCAAGTATAAAGCTGAAATACTATTTAGAACAGTATGCCACAATGAAGAGTAAACATCTACTTACACAAATGAAATATTCCCAAAGATCAGTTTGAGTTGCTATTCCCAAAGACCAGTTTGAGCTGCTTCAGGAAAATGCCATAAAAGTGATTTTTAAAAAAAGAAAAAGAGACAATGAAAATAGAAAAACAATTTTAAGAGAAATAAGAATAGGGCCCATGCAAGATTTATGATGTAAAAACTGCATAGAAGATACAGAAAGTACTAGATAGGAAAATAGAAAATATAAATTTCATGATGTAAAATCCAGAAGATACAAACATCAAAGAGAAACATTTTTATATACCTTCAAAGGCCTAAAATTAGATAGCCTTTTAAATTAGAATTGGACTCAACTTTCAGGAAAAGGAGTAGTCACTCTTGGGTAAAAACAAGACAACACAAGGATCCATTTTTGGTCCTAGTTTTTTATATGTATATTCTTAAACTACCTCATTGAGAGTCTAGCTTTTTTTTTTTCTCCCCTAATTAATTTGCTAGAGGCTTGACCTGTTTTTAAAAATTATATAGGCATGTACATAAGCCCAGTTACAACTTATACTGTTATATGCAATGTTTCACAAAAAAGAACATGTGATGAATCACAACAGAATTATAATGTAAGGGTAGCTAGCTTGCAGGGAGAAATAAGAAAACTCAAAGGGGCGTAGGTGTGGAAAGTACAACCAAGACTGACAGAAAAGAAAAATGCTAAGATCAAGTTCAGTATTCCTTCTGTTCTGGAGAACACTTACCTATCTCACCACCAGCAAGAGAAGCCAGTAGGACAGGAAATGACAGCAAATTCAAGGACCCACACAGGACTGGAGATATTGACTAACATAGTAAACAGCTGGAAAACTGATCTGAGAATGTTTCTATATCAAAACAATAAAGTCAGGCCGGGCGCGGTGGCTCACGCCTGTAATCCTAGCACTCTGGGAGGCCGAGGCGGGTGGATCGCTCAAGGTCAGGAGTTCGAGACCAGCCTGAGCAAGAGCGAGACCCCGTCTCTACCAAAAAATAGAAAGAAATGATCTGGACAACTAAAAATACATATATATAGAAAAAAATTAGCCGGGCATGGTGGTACATGCCTGTAGTCCTAGCTACTCGGGAGGCTGAGGCAGAAGGATTGCTTGAGCTCAGGAGTTTGAGGTTGCTGTGAGCTAGGCTGACGCCACGGCACTCACTCTAGCCAGGGCAACAAAGCGAGACTCTGTCTCAAAAAAAAAAAAAAAACAATAAAGTCAGAATAGGTTTCATTTCAAGATTTAGCTTCTGAAGAATAGAGATTACACAGTTATTTGTTTACACACATGCAATCAAAGAAACCACTAAATAGACTAGCATTAAAAATCTGAATAGATCTAAGCACTAGTAATTTCCTAAAAACTGGAATAGTCAATCATAGTCTTCTTCAAACACAAAGAAAAAATAAAGAAATAAACACTAAGTAGTGAAAAAATGTAAAGATGATATCAAGTGGTACTCTTTTGTAGGATGTTTGAATGTTAATATTAAATTCAAGTTTATCATGAAAACGTTTACATTATCTCAAGGTCCTGCCTGTTTGGCTTATACACTTACGAAATAGGGACTACCCATTAAATTGAAATTGCTAAGAGAGAGGGAGAAAGGAAGAGAAAATGGCCAACATAAAATCCTCAGATAATTCTGTCGGCTTTTAGCCTTACTTCTATAGATACAAAACTATAAGGTAACATCCTTAATTAAAATAAGAAAACACTTTATAACACAAAAATATTGCTTTCATACCGGTACTTGAGGTACTGTTTAAATGTCTGGTTAACTTAACCAAGACACTTAAAAAATGAAGTACTGCTGTTTTATAGCCACCAGCAATGCTCTTTACTATCTTCCGGTTCGGGAAAATAGGAACTGCACACATCAATCCAGTTCATGAGTAACCTTTGCTGACATGCACTCCAAGAAGGAAACAGAAACATAAAATCAACTATTAAATGAAAGCAACTAGGAACACCTTTAAAAATAATAACCTGACAGCAACCTTTTTGGATTATATTAATATTTACCCAGTAAAAAGTTAAAAGAATACAGTTTTAGACATATTAACTTTCAAACCTAAATGTGACTTTGTGACCTTTAGTTACATTATCTGTCTATGATTCTATAGGTGTTATTGATGCTTTATGGCATTGGGATAGAATAAAACTAGTGATAATATTTAAACATAAACAGTTCTTTCCACAGGACCATTCGTAATGGGCTAAGACGTGGTATTAAAGTGCATTAGGGCTCTTTTCTAAACCAAAAACTCACCCTTCTTCCTGTGGTCCTATGTTTCTCAACTTGCTAATTCTATTTTCTCCCTAAAAAGCAAGGAGTGCCACATATAGATGGGTAACAATGCTTTCTGTTAATGACAGTTCCTAGGATGAATGGTCAAGAGGGTCACTCTGGAATTGAAAGAGGAAAAAAAAAGCCTTTATAGATTTTTCTTCAAAAGAACATAGGATTCAGGGGGGAAAAAGTAGAAACACAGAACATAGGTCTCTATATTCCCATTTAAGCAATGCATCAAAACTTTTATTGAAGACAGTGCATGCTGTCGAAAAATAGATTTAGAGCATTCAGAGCACTGTGCTAAATGCTGTGAATATCAAGAGGTATGTGAAACAGTTACCCCAGTAACTTAGTTTACAAGTAAAGTAGCAAAGATGGATAAATTATAACATACAAAGCAACATAAAAACCCCAGAGGTCTACACACAGTGAAAAAGATTACAAGCCATAGCCCAAGACTTTTAGCAAATTTTATGTTTTCTTTCATTGGTTAGCATATTTGAACTAGCAGGCCAGTGGAGCAAAGATCTGTCTGTGGATGTCATCAGGAACATGACAGCCACCATCAGATGTCAAGCTAGCAGGCTTGAATCAATTTGTTATTGTCATCAAAGCCAAATATATGGTAATATTTTTAAATAATCTTTGGATGATACAATTTGATTCTATTAAATTTACATCATTTAACTGGGTCCTTATGAGGAATTATCAACAAAAGGAAAACCCATGAGATTAAAGCCTCCAACACACTTGACTCAGACACAATTTTCATGAACTGGACCCTCTAGACCAGCTGGTTTTCAGCTTTTTGGTGTACATAAGAATCACACCAAGACTTTCGTTTAAAAAATAGATTACAGGGCTTCAGCCTCCCAACATTCTGATTCAGCAGGTCTAAGGTGG